GCCCTTCCCAGCCCCGCCCCCGCCCCACAAGCCCCGCCCCGCTCACCTGCGCTGCAGCAGATGCCGGGGGCGGCGCAGCGGCCACCGCTCCCGCACGGCTTCTGGCCGGACATGCAGGGCGACGGCAGGTAGTTTTCCGCCTGGCAGCGCAGCGCCTCGGCCGTGCCCACCAAGCACCCCAGCTCGTCCCCGCAGCAGATGCTGGGCCCGAAGCAGCGCCCTTTGCCCCCGGGGCCGCAGGGGAGACACTGCGGGGACGGACGGAGTGAGCGGGAGGAACGGGCGAGGCGGCTGGGGAGCCCCGCGAGGCTGGAGGGGTGCGCGGGGCACGGATGCTGGGATCGGGCGGGCTCCGTCGGGGGTGTGGGCGCGACCGAGGGGCTGCAGGTGCTTGGGGCTCTGTCTGGGCCTCGACCGCGGTCAAGGGCGGGCAGTCAAAATCTACTCCTCGGGTTCCCAGGCGAGGCTGGGGCGCGCCCCTGAGGCCACGGGTTCCTCTGGTCCCCTAGCGCATCGGGACAAGGGCTTGGGGCGCTCACCTGGCGTACGTCCTGGTCCAGAACGGCCCTCTTGCCGCCCAGGGGGCAGTTCTGGATGTAGCAGGCGGACGTCAGCGCCAGGAGGCCGAGCAGGCAGCAGGCGAGGTTGGGGCCGGCCATGGTGCGGACGCGCTGGATCTCGGGTCAGTGGCTGGTGGCCGTCTCTCCGGCCCGGCCTTTTTATGCTCGGGCGCTGCTCAAGCCGAGCACAGTCTAAGAGGGCATATGCATGACTGGTCACAGCAGGTCGCTGAGGGTCAGGCCATGTGCGCACTGTGCATCCCCTCATTTGCAGGGCCCGGATTAGGTTAAAGGTCACCTCATGGGCTAATAGTCCGGGGCACAGTGGGTGGATGTCACGGGGAAGGGAGCAGGCTGGGGTGCATGGTCACTAGAATAGGACAGGGGGAATTGGGGCTAGTGGATACGGCCCAAATAAGGACTATTTATCTGGACTCCCAATACCTTGAGGAGGGTGGCAGAGCAGGGGAGGTGGACACCCAGGCCCCTCCAGGTGGGAAGAGGCTCCAGATAGACTTCCTGTCCGCCCTCTTGGCCCACCACACATATGCATCCTTGTCCCCTCTGTTAGGAAGGTCTCCTCTTCCTAAGCTCAATTTTCCGGAAAGCGTCCCCACGCCAACACACAGCAACACCCACTTACTTGCACCCGGAACTTGGATGGGAAAAGATCACATCTTCCTGTAACCTCTAACTGAAATTCTGACTTTCTTTCAACTATGAGTTAGGCGATAAACCACAGTGGAACTGAGAATACCTGCGGCTCTGTCATAAATGGAAATGACAGATAACCTCCTGTCACATTACATCTATTGCAAATGTCTTGAAATATTGTTTAGATTTATCATTGCTTCGAAAGTATGGCAGTTATTGAGCCTGCCACTAGATCTTGCTATCTAATGGCTAAAGAAGTACATTTACGACAATATCAAAATGTTAAAACACATACATATATAATGCATTTGCTTTGTAGTATGATGTTTTTAAAAATGCATTTAAAGGGTTTTTTTTTGGGGGGGGCTTTTTTTGCATTTTTAATATAAGACAAAATTTTAAAAAATGAAAAAGACCGTCTTAGTGAAAGGGGTGTTTGTCAATATCATGAACAAAGAAGGAGATGAACTACTCAGATCTTTAAAAGGAAGGGACTCGCCACCCAGCTCTGCCACACCTAGTGTGGCAGCAGGTGGCCTTCAGCTGGCAGCACCTCCAGGGCCTGCCCCAGCTGCAGAGAGCTGCTTGGCCCAGAGTCACACCCTTCCCAGAGTGCCCCAATGCAGGACAACTGTGAAGGAGAATTTCAGCTCCGGAGCTCCCTGTTGGAGGTCTGCACCCCAGTTCTCCTTTGCACTCCCAATTCTGCCCCTTCCCTTACACAGGTGGGAGTCCCCAGGGCACTCTAATAAACTCCATTTCATTTTTCTCCCTGAGGAGCCCAACCTGCAGTAGCATGGAAGAAATGAGAACCAGTGTCAGAGACCAGGCTTGGTTGGTTGGGCTGGTCCCTTAATGTCCAACCCCCCTCTGACCAGGGACAGGAGAACGGGACAGCCCCAGACTCTCCTGCCCTCTTGTTGACTCTCCTCAAGGAGGGTGCTGAGCCTGGTGGGGCCAAGCAGGTCACAGAGCCCGTCTGACCCCGGGTCACTGACCCGAGTCACTAGAGTGAGCTGTCCAGCGCTGAGGATCCAGTCAGGCCACCCTGGATCACAAATCAGCAGTCAGTCATTTCTCACCCAGATCAGCTAATTGGCATTCCCGGCCTAGAAGGCCAAGGGTTAGGCCTCCCACCCGCCCCATGGAAACTGACCTCACCTAAGCTAACACATGCACATAAATTACCATAGCATAATGTCCCTCATGTGGCCAACATTCCTTCTTCTCTTCAACAACTCCTCATCTGAAGATGCACCATATCAGATGTTTGGAAACACCAGTGAACCAGACAGACCAAAATTCCTGCCCTCATGGGGCTTATATTCCAGTGGAGGAGGAGCGGCATTAAACAATAAACATATTTCAATGGGTTAGGAAACAAACATAATAAACACATTTCAATAACAATGAACATATTGTAGTAGATTAGTAAATGCTATGGAGGAAAAGGGAGGGGACCCATCGCAGTTTTACTTAGGGTGGTCAGTGTAGATGTCTCTGTGAAGATGACATCTGAGCACTTGGGGCAGAGAGAAAAGAAGCCACAGGGCCCGGGCTTTTACTCTAGATGAAATGGGGAACATGTGCCAACTTAGGATAACTTTGGATATCGTGTTATGAAGAGTCTATAGGGCAAAGGTGGAAGCAGGGAGATCGGTGAGCAGACTATTGCAGCAATCCCTGCGAGGGATGGTGGTGGGGTTCGCCTGGTGAGGAGTGATCTGGTTCTGGGTTACTTGGTAGAAGCACCGACTGGGGTTTGCTGGTGGATTGGATGTGGGTGTTAGAGAAGGATGGAAGTCAGACATGACTCCAGGGTTTCTGGCATGAACAATGGGAAGGACGGAGCTGCCATCAACTGTCTTGGAGACCCTGAGGGCGGCACGATTTGAATTGGAAAGAGCAGAGGCTCAGTACGGGCATATTATGTTTGAGATGCCCATTACACATCTGGGGAGGACTGGAGCAGGCATTTGGATATGAGTCCGGAATTCAGAAGAGAGGTTTAGGCTGAAGATACATAAAGTTGGAAACGGACAGTACCAATATTTAAAGGCACCAGCCTGGGCCGGCCCGGTGGCGCACTCGGTTGAGTGCGTTGCTTGGGAGCGCAGTGGCGCTCCCGCTGAGGGTTCGGATCCCATATAGAGACCAGTCCGCTCACTGGCTGAGCGTGGTGTGGGCGCGACGCCGAGGGTTGCGATCCCGTTGCCAGTCAGGAAAAAACACAAAAAGGAAAAAATAAATAAATAAAAATAAAGGCACCAGCCTGAGTACAGAGAGAGAAGAGGACCAAGGATCCAACCTTAAGTAAGGTAGGAAAAAACAGGAGTAGGAAGTGAAGACAGGTATCAAGGAGGAGGAAGAGAGGCTGAGAGGACTCTGAGGTGGTGTGCCACGACCTTAGCCTTTGGTCACATCTGTTTGGCCTGTTTAAGGCCGATGCTGAAGCTGCCTTCCCTGTTCTTACACCAGATGGCTGAGCACTGCCCATGGAAATCTCATAGCTGTAAAGAGTGACACAGCAACACTTGTGAATGGCTTCTAATCTCATGCATACATTTATCAAGTCATCATGTTGTACACCTTGAATACACACGATTTTTATTTTTCAATTATACTCCAATAAATCTAGAAAAAAATAAACTGAAAATTCATGAATTATTTTTCGTTGCTGAAGCTACCATTCTCTCCCGCTTCACTGGCTAGAAGGAGACAGCCCCACACACTGGCTGCAGATGCTGAACATATTCTCCCCGGGTGTTGTCTCTGAGCCAAGCATCGTATCTGAGCCTCAACAGGCTGTTCTGCTGTTCTCCAAGGCCAGCTGTCTCTGATGGATGGGTGCAAGGTAAGACCACAGAACCTATCGCCCTCCTCCTTTTCCTGTAAAGGGAGTTCCTTGATCAAAAGCAATCTGGCATGATAACCAGCATACTGTATGAGGCAATCAGTGTGTCTGAATGCTGGTGCTGGAAGTGGCTGGCTGGGCCCCAGGGAATGGTGCTGACTTTGGTGTCTGCTGTTGATGAGTTAAGCACTCAGCAGTGGTGGGAGCCAAGTCAGCCACGTGGTTGAGCCCATGCACAGCCTCAGTCCCTGCCACCATGACCACTTTGTTCATGAGTCAGATGAGCAAGGTTTGGGGTGGATGGGGATAGAGGGCATCCGAAATGCACAGCTCACCTTGTCCACCTGATTAGTGACAGCCACCTCTGCAGTGGATCCTTTTGGTGAGCTTCCAAAAGGGACACAAATACTCTCCAACTTTAGGTTCATTCTGAGAGATCCATCCACATACTCCTCCACAAACCTCCATGTTACTATCATCCAGTCAAATTCCTGCTAAGTCCCAGGTCCCTATCATCCAGCCAAATCATTAGCTACTTGTCTGTCCCCAAGACTCTCTCTAGTTCCAGGTAAAGTGCTTGTGATGCAATGGCTCAGTACTGCCAGCTGGGGAAATTGATTCCCTCCACTGTCTTTCAGGCCCACCATGAGCAAGACAGCAACACCAGTTATCTGCCACCTGGATATGAGTCATCTGAAAACTGGGTTCCATTTTTTCCCCTCTTGGGACAATTTGACATATAAGACTCCCCATGAGCTTATGAGTATGAGTTGAGGAAGGAATATAAGTTCATGAAGAGGACATCTCTGATGCTTATCTGTGACCTCACGAACAGCGTGGGCCACACAAACCACTTCCACCTGATATGCTAAGCTGTGGATCATTGTTAGGAGAGAATTCTCTGTGGATTTCTTACATTCCTGTATGGTCCAGGCCTTCTTAGGAACTGACATGTTTGAATAGCAAACAGCCTTGGACAAGAAAGATAGTGTATCTCTCTGGAGAGATTTAGAAATATACCTCCCCACAGCCATCCCAGGGTAGTAACGATAAAGCCTCTTCTTTCTCTCTCCTTCAGGAAATTTGCTTACATTCCAGGATAGTGGGTAATCTCTCTCTCCAGAGGTGAGTGTGGACAGATGTTGCAACAGCTCAATAAAATTTAAAGCTCAGCGTCTCCTGATTTGGGGATTCCTCTCCCATCATGGAGCCCGCTGCATGCAAAGGTAACATCTAGCCCTTCTCATGTCACCCTGTGGGGCTTGGGCTATGGGAAACCGACACAATATGAGGCTCTGGCTGCTAATTTTGCTGTAATAATTGGTCTATTTCTCTGATGTAGGAGTCTTGTGTCCTGTCAATATATGTATATAAAACTATGGCAAGCAAGCAAACATTAGCTTGCAAGTAGGGAAAAATCTGACTGTGCAGTTTCATATTTAACAGGTGTGTCCATCTGTATAGCTTAGACGGCTACATACCAGCCAGTTCATGACGTTCAATTGACATCTCATGTTTACTGTCATTTCTCTCTGTACCCACACCATTTCCAATGTGATTTTGCAGCCCATTCTCCCAAGGGAGTGTATTTCCCTGCCTCTTTAATCTGGACTGGACTTGTGACT